CCTACAATTCTCTGAGTGTCTTTGCTTGTCCCCCACGTATAGCTCTACTATGCTCTACTGCGCTACCAAAGCTGGATGCTCCTTCCCTTTTGCCCCAGCGATTAAGAAGAAGAGAAGAGGTGGTTCTGGTTGTTGGGAGGAAGATGTTGTCTGGCAGCAGTGAGGTGGCCTGGGGAAGGAGCTGCATTCTTTGGGCCTTCCATGTCACTTCTGCTCCAGAGTTTCATTAAAAGATAGCCATCACTTTGGGTGAAAATTTTAATGTGCTAAATTGACTACCTTCAGTTACTATGTTCCCTTTTCACCTAAGAAAAACTGGAATTATATACAGGGTTATGTTTTTGACAAGAATCATACAGAGGACACTCTTTAATTATAGAATGATACTTAACACAGTGAATGTAAAGTTATAGGTTAACCTCTAAGGATGTGTTGTAAAAGTTCATTTTAAAAGTAATAAAACTATTTAGTGTTAGTGAAGGTATTATTATACATCTACTCATAAATGTAGGAATGCATTTCATGGATAAAAAAGAATTTCAGAGTTGAAAATATAGCCATGTTTTAGTTCCATTTTTCATCTTGCTCAGTAGAAAGTTTTAATGAAATTGTTTGTTCATATTCTGTTATTTAAAATGACAGCATTCATTTGATAATGATTCTGCAAAACAGACTTCACACAGGACAAGATAATCTAATCTTGAATTAAACCTATTAAATAAGTTAAAAATTAATTCCAAAATTTAGAAGGAGTTCTTAAGAGTAAAAAGAAACGCAAAGAAATTGTTGAGGCTAATTTAAAGCACTTCTAGGGAAAGAAAAAAAAACCAGGACAGGTTTGGAATGCTGTGTATATACATGTTTATACACTGTGTATATAGAGAGCCATAAAATCAGGCAATATGGAACCAGGAATGAAGGAAGAAATTTGTATAATATTCCCTCAGTGGGTGAAAGAAAATGAAGCAATGGCATTTGGTGCAGTAGCTGCCTGCGGTGCCCAAATGGGGAACCCTGGAGTCTGCATCAGTCTAAGACTGTTGGTTTTTTGTAGTGCTGGGGTTTTTTTTTTTCTGTTTTTGTTTTTTTTTTTTAATTTTTTTTTAGTGAAGTCACTGCTCCACCAGCTTTGGGAATAAATTTCTGTTGCTCTCAGGCTGAAGACTGAGATCATCTTCACTTGGGACCTTCTCTTGTTGTATTGGTTTCTAATGTTTGCAGTGTCTAGTAGTAAAAATGCAATTCATATTTCCCTGTTTAGTTTCAGAATGCTGCTCTAATCATATCAGAAGCAGCATTATCTTTTCTAGTTTTATTATAAACATTTCTAATAAAAATAAAATTATTGGAAACTAAACTTTAAGTCTCATCTCCTGACCCTTGCAGGCAGCGCTGGGGTCAGTACTCGCGAACGTTGTAATTACTTTCTTTTCAGCTGTAGTTCTTGTTTTCTGTTATTCCACCACTATTTTCTGTAACAGTTCTTTCGTTTAAGGGTACACCCATGCAACGTGTAAGAGCGGGACCGTTACTGCCCTGTGCCCGGCCCCACAGAGCAGCCCAGAGGACATGAGGTGCCACACTAGTAGCTTCCTCCTGAATGCGGTAAGATAACTGAACAAAATATTCGGTATCTGATTGGCACCATGTGGGATACCAAATACATTTTCATGCAGGAGATCTGGAAAACAAAAGCAAATCTTTCAAAGTTTCATAGTTGCAGAACCAGGACATGCTGAGCCCTTACTGAGTGAGAGTGGGGAGCCCCAAATTCACCTTCCAGTGGCGCCGCTGCTGGCTGCCCTCGGAGCTGGACAGGAACCACTGATTCAACTTACAGCAAATTCTTGGTTTTTAGATTCCTTCTCAATCCCCTGGGCTCAGATCTGCTGTTGTAACGTGACAGGGAACATGAGGGTATTCAGCTTGGATTTGTGGGTTTCCACATTCTCAAGCAGAGGCCATTGAACCCACATCTTACGTCCTGGGTGAATCTCTAGCACTTAGTTCATCTCATAGAACTTGGGTTTTGGTTTTAGTATTTTTTTTGTACTTTAAAAAACAAAATCTTAATCCCTGCACAGTTTTGTAAGTAAAATATTGGTGTCTGCCTCTGAAGAAAGTTGCTGGCAATGGCTTTGGCTACTCTATCTTCGGATTGTGGGTTATTTTTAATCCCCATTCTAAGATTTATAACTCTTTCCCAAGCATGGGACTGGGAAGCCAAACCCATAACTGTGTTCCCAATACCACTCCTGAGACCTAAAATTAAATATTGCAAAATATTTGCCCACATGTTTTGTCTAGTTCTTAACCACTGACATTGGCCTTTACCTTAAATCAGCTTTCTCTAGTCCTTGTAGTTATTGCCGGGATAAAAATAGCCCTAGACACATTAAAAAGAATTGTAATTCACTCTCTATTTTTGTTAATTAATATTGAAGAACTAATACTTAATGTAGGGTTTCTTTTTAATCAGTAATGCAAAATATCAAACCCAAATGTAGAGTTTCACCAGACAAAGCTGCCTTATTGTTTTGAGACCAGTAGATGGCAACCACCCATTGCAATGTCAAAGGTAAATGAAAAGTGAGAGTTGTTTAAGTAGGGGATTTATTATGTGACAGCTTGAGCAAAAAGTTTTGCTCTTCCACATAAGAAGCAGTACTTTTATTTTTATTCCTCCTCATACACATCTTTTGAAGGGGAGCAGTGAGATGCCCTTTGACATAGGCAGTTTTGACAAATGATAATTGGGACAATCCATTTGACTAAAATATCTTATGGCTGCTCCTTACTGATGATACCAGTCAAAAAAAGAATGAGTCAATGGGAAAAAAATCTAAAGCAATCAGACTGCCTTAGCTTCCACAGGAATAGCCTCAAGTTCTTACCATGATTAATTAGATTCATTATCACTTTAGGTAGAAGAAGTTAGAACTGAGTAACAATGGTCCTGGGATTGGAAATAGACCTCCCTTTAGGAAGTGAGTGAATCTATTAATGTACCAGTTAATTAATCCTTGTTATCTGAGTGGTTCTACAGAAATTTTTTTGACATGATCAAATTTGAAGAATTCCGATTCCTTCTACAACATTAGATTAATTTTTTTTTTTATTTCTAAGAGCAGTCACTGTGAAGGTTTGAAAAGAGACTCTCAGGCCCTCCAATAACCTTGCATTTACACTTTAGAAAAGAAGCTCCTTCATTAAAACAGAACCCTTGTGGAAATGTATCTGTAACTTTACTAGTAGGATACTTAACTACCTGTAGTCATCTTAAGTTTTCCTTTAGCATTGATTTAACTGTATTTTGTGAATGCCTTCTCAATTAGGATTGGTATACATGATACATGTGTGGATGCACACTGAAGTACAGCACAGAAAAAAACAGACCTTTAGACCTCTGATAGCCTAACACTGTGATTAGCAACTTGAAAAAGAATGTGCTACAAATCGCTAAACCAGCCAACAAGAAGAGCACTGTCACTTAGGAGAAGTAAAGAAAATTCTCTGCATTACTGGGATGCCTCCCTCCAAGTTCTCAAGCACTTTGCAAACCATTAACTTGAAATGCATTCACTTGCGTCCTTGCGGTACAAGGTGTGTATGGTTATTCTCAGAATTTGCTCGGAAGACTTAAAAAGCCTACTTGATGCAGATGAAGTAGTAAACTTTCACTCCTTGTTAAAGTTACAGTTTGATCAGCTGTGAATTTTTGTAAGTGACTTTGAAATCAGAAAAAATCCAGCTGGGATCCATTTCCTAGTGAATACCAGTGAGTTGGTGTTAGGAATAGCTTCTGCTGTCCCTTACAAACCCCCCAAACTTTTCTCATTATTTTCTTCATATATCAATAAGATTTATACTGTAAAAAACTCATAGTCTTTAATGAGACTTGAGTTCTTGTTTTGCTTCTTTGAAGAAATTAAAGGCCGTCAGCCTGATTTGTGCAACTTCATTTGCTTTAGCATGAGAAATTATGTGACTTGTATATGTTGTTATGTATGTTACAGGCCCATGAGTTTTGCTGAGTCCAAGAGTTATCTTGGACTCTTCTTGCAGAAAAACTGCAAAGCTAGCAAGATGATTTTTTTTTTTTTAAAGTAAGCAGAGAAATCTAAATGATTTAGAAGAGAAGGGATTTTTAGACAAACAATAAAAATACTTTTCTGTTTATATTTATGCTATTTTTTAGCTCAAATGACTGAGGACAGATAGTTTTCAAGACTCAAGGTCTGCTGTTTCCATGAAGGGCCGGGGAAGGTCTTACTCCTGATTTCTGGTACTTATCACAACAGAAGTCTGCAAGAGACCACCAAGGACAGTAACTCTCCTTCTTTACAGATGCAGTCAGTATAGTTTAGTTGAAGTTCAAAGAAATCCATATGGACATTCCCTTCTGCTCAATACTTCCTACAGATCACAGATCACAAAATACATGCACTGTAACAGTATTCAGATTCATAGTAGAATCCTCCCCAAAGTCTGAAATTTTGTCTGTTAATTATCTAAGTAGGGGTCAGTGGCATTTCCAAGAGCTTGTACCTCTACGTTTCTCTCAACTGTGTGCTGAAATGTGTATGTGATGAGCGGTGACAAAGTCCTCTGAAGGTCATGGTAGGTGAGAATGTGCTTACCTCATGTACAATGGCAAAAAGGGCCCAATAAGAATGTAATTACAGCCTTTTCATTCTTCTCCAACACTTTCTAAAATTTGAAAAAAAAAACCACCCCAGAATTGGTCCCTACTATTGTGCAGAAAAGCAGTCTCTGAACTGTTTTCAGTGGAACATTTTTGTGTCTTTGACACTGGAAATGTTCCCCATTGAGCAAAGCCCATTGGTTGACAGGTTTGTTTGATCGCTTTCTAGTGGGGAATGAAAATAGGACTGAGCTCTGAAGCAGGTGCTTGAGCAGTGACTGTTAATCAAAGAATAAAGTACAGATTTGCACGGGGATTGTGCCAACCTGATCCTTATTCCAGATGCCGTTTGAACCATAACTGAAAGGAGCAGTAATGAGGGACACAGTCCAGTGAGGTGCTGAATGCTATCCACTGCCATTGCTTGCACTGAGATTCAAAGGTAATCAGTCTTGGCAGGATCTGAGGCATCATAAATTAACGAGATAAAATGGGTAATGAAAGAATGCAAAATGAGGAAGGTGTTTGTATTTCTTGACAGTGTTCAGCGTGACTTAATAATTATTAACTTAACCCTGAAAGCCTGAGATAGTCTTTAGTCAAATGCCTCAGTTTTGCTCCACGTTTTCGCTGAACAACATCTCCTGACAGTTCCACAATGAGGAAAAGGAAGACAACAGATTCACCTCCTTCATCCACAGATCCGAGTGAAGGGAAGGAGAAATTAAGACTGAAGCAAGAGGTTGGCCTGATCAGTGGAGTGTCATTAATTGCAGGCACTATGATAGGCTCGGGCATCTTTATGTCCCCTGAGTGGGTGCTACATCATATGGGGAGCCCTGCCAGCAGCCTGCTTATCTGGGCAGCCTGTGGCCTCCTGGCCATGTTTGGAGCCTTGTCGTACGCTGAGCTTGGAACCGTAATTAAAGAGTCTGGAGGAGAATATATTTACATCTTGAGGATTTTTGGTTCTTTTCCTGCTTTCCTTTTCGCCTACACTTCTGTTATCCTGGTGAGGCCGGCGGGGTTGGCAGCTGTCTGTCTGAGCTTCGCCGAATACGCCGTTGCGCCCTTCTACCCGGGGTGCTCATCTCCACAGGTTGTCGTCAAATGCACAGCTGCTGCCTGCATCCTCCTTTTGACTGTCATCAACTGCCTCAACGTGAGGCTGGCCACGTCCATTATGAACGTTTTTACAGCTGCCAAACTCCTGGCGTTGCTGGTGATCGTGGTGGGAGGAGTGGTGCTGCTTGCCAAGGGACAAACTCAGAGTTTTCAAAATGCTTTTCAAAACACGACTGCGGGTATCGGGGCAGTTGGAGTGGCCTTTTACCAGGGACTCTGGTCCTACGATGGGTGGAACAACCTGAACTATGTAACTGAGGAACTGAAGAAGCCTGAGGTGAGCGAGTGAGCTGGGTTTGACTTACTTAATCCTGCTGCTAATATGTTTGATTCTATCTATGATGGTGTTAAGAGGGGTAATCAAGGGATTAGAGTGTCGAGGAAAGACTACTGAGCTTTCCTCCTGGCTTGTTCTGGCATCCGGGGTAAGACTCCTACGGATGTATCCAGAAAGGATAAAAATGAATAGTCTCTAAGCAAAATAACAGCTTGCCTACAAGAAAGCACTAAAATACACCATTGACTGGAAAAAAAGCTATGTGTGTGCTTTCTTTCAGTGCAGCACACAAGATTGTACAGATTAAATGGAAATACACAGTTAAATATTAACCTAAATGGCAGCAAAGATCCTAGGGTCAGGTGGCACTTTCTCCCACAGGACCATGAGTGCTGATATTCAGGCCTTTGTGGGGTGGAGGCATCAACGTAAGGAATTGCTCTGTCTTGTCCAACAGTGGGAATGAGGAATGCAAAAAATCGATATTTCAGGTTTTCAGATGTATAGTTCCTGTATGATCACCCTACTAGTAGCTTTTTTCCAGTGCTTTCAGATGCATAAGGTACTAAGTAATGTAAAAAGCTGATTTTATTGAGCCTTAAAATGATCTGTGGTGTTCCAAGATTGCAGCATCCTCTCACTAGGAAAAAAGATATATAAAAAAATTCCTTCCCAGAGCAAATTCCATTTGTGTTGCCCTGCTTGGATTTAGCCTGTAGAGGAGGTAAATACTATGTACTGGTACTTCATCCTTGTCAGTGGGATGTTGATGGGAAGATGCAGCACACCAGGAGACATCGCCCACTAGTAACAAATAAATCAATATTAAAGTCATCAAGAAGTGTGCAACAGACATCTTGGGCAGCTGTGAACCAAAGTGGTTTCGAATAAGATTTGGGTTTTATTTTGTTGTTGTTTGTTTGTTTTTTCAAAGACTAGCTTTTGAAATGTACAGCCTTACTGTTTGCCTGACATCTTTGGGATTTTACTGGTGGAAAATCTGCATCTAAGTCTTGTTCTGTGGAAAAGCTTAGTGGGTGAAGGAGTTTGAATGAGAGACATGGGTGGTGGCAAAGACAGAACAAACAAAAAAAGCCCAGTGCAGGCATAAATGTGCTGCACCTAACACTCTTGTCATTCCTTTTCCAGGTGACCCTTCCCAGAGCTGTGATGATTGCCATTCCTTTGGTCACGTGCCTGTATTTGCTGGTCAATGTGAGCTACTTGGCAGCCATGACTCCGTCTGAAGTGCTGTCTTCTGGAGCTGTGGCCGTCACTTGGGGGTGAGCTCTGCTTGTGGCAACACAGCCAATGTCATCCTGTAAAAGACAGGTTGTCTCCTGAGCTTCAGAAGGTTTTTTAGGTGCTGTTCCCAGCGGGAATAACAGCACTGCATTGGTTGGGCCAGGAAGACCTCTCAAATCATGTTACAGGGGACCACGCTGTCACCTTGAGGGCAGCGCCTAGCCTTCCCCCACCAAAGGCCAAGGCTGATCAGCCTCGACTGGCCCACGGTCTCCAAGGTGCACCAAGGCTGCCAAGATTACTCCCCATTCCCATTCATTCCCACTGGGAACCTGCGGCTCCCCTCCAGCTTATGGAAAGGGGGGTGAAGTGCACACCAAGAGCATCTCCCCACAAATATTGAGGATGCGGCGTGGGTCCATATCCATACCTGGGGACTGAGAGATGCCCCACATTAGGTATTTCCAGAAGAGTGGAAAGGACAATGTGCTGCCCCACTAATGCAGTGGCAGTGGCTTGGGAGTGAGACAGGAGCCAACTTGTGAATCCTGTCCACTTGGCACCTGGTAATTAGACCAGACCAGAATCTTTTGGTTCAGTTTCTCCATCTGAGGGGAAATGGAAAATGACACTGGTCTCTGCAACACCTTTGAGAAGGAGAAGTGTTATACGCAGGTTGGGTAGCCCCTAGTAATTGTATATTTAAGTTGGCTTTTGCTTTTCTAGAGCTGCACGGAAACTATTTGTACGTTCTCTCATCCTGAAGTGTTTGGTGGTTTTAACAGGCTCTGTGCAGGACAAGGATTTTAGGAAGAGTAGGAAGGGACCATCATGAGAGATGTAGGGACCATCGACTTCTAACCAGATGATCTTCCACCAGAACATCCAGCTTTATTCTAAATATTTCCAAAGACACAGAATCCATGATAGCCCTAAATGAGTTGTCTCGCAGAAACCATGGCACAGGATATCCAGAGATTATGTTGCTTGCTCATCTTCTTCCTAAAAACTCAGCAGAGGCTTTGCTTCTGTGTGCATTTCACAAGATCTCTCCAGCTTGAAGATCTGACTGATCACTGCTGGATGTGTTCTTTAACAGCCTTTCATGTCATCATTAGCAGGAGCTTTTAAAGGTCTAGTGCTTTGTTTGAACTGGTTACAAAGCCTCACTAAGCTCCAGTGTCATGAACTTCCTCTTCACTTCCTTTCCCATCGCTCCTGATTAACAAGCTATTTGTGAGCTTCCTCCTTTTTAACACATCTTCTTTTCCTGCCTGATTAACCTTTTCATACCGAGAGTGCCATTTAAGAAGAAACATTGAACTGGCAACCAGGAAGCAACCAGGCACTCAAAAGCCTGGAGGACAGGTAGATAACCAGGGGCTGAGTGAGGAGGGCGTAATGGCTGTGGTTCACCAGCAAGAGATTCAGCTGCTCAGGCCATTAATGAAGGATGGGAGGAAGATAAAGAAGCCAGAGGAGGACATATCACATTTAAATGCATTTATTCCCCACATAAGAAGAAAACTGCCAGAGAGAAACGTTGTTCAGTGACGAGAGATGCAGCCACAAGAGGAGCTTGTGAAGCTCTCCCCAGCATTTCTTTGGTGCCAGGGATTGAGTAGCAGCTGCAGATCTCAGTCGGCTTGTAAGAGGTGACCCTCAGTAGCCCCTGTTGTTCACATTCAGAGTCCAAACAGCAAAGCACCAATCTTACAGTAGCAGAATACATAGTTGCTAAATATTTCATTATTAATTTTGTGATACACATTGTTTCCCTTGAGATCTTGTGTTTATGGAGTTGCACGATCATAGGAGATGCCCAGATTCCATCACTTTGAAAAAGGGAGAATTTTTAGTTCCGGTTATTGCAATTAGCTTAATAACTTGAAGCCTGAAGGATCATGACCCAGATATTAAGCTTCTAAATTACATTTTTGAAATTATTGTGGTAGATGGGCTTCCATGATTTTGGGAAGCCCAACACTTGATTTTTGAACGTTTGGGACAGGTGACAGTAAAAAAAGAGTACGTATCTCTTAAAGTCATACAATTCAAGCAGAAATATCAAGTGTTCTAAAAAACTTTTGAATTTTGGATTTTTGCCAATGAGATGAACAGTGTGTTTGTTTGTGTGTGTGTGTGTGTGTATGTGATAATTACCCCAAACACCAGCATCTATTACTCTATTAATATTCTTCACGCTGCTTCATTCCAGAAGACAAGCTTCACTTTGAGGTGAGAAGTTTATCACATCTTCCAAATATTTACCTTGAACTCTGCTGTAACCCTGCTCCTTTTTCTGTTATGGAGAAAGCAGACCATAAATGTCTGAACATGTTGTAGAACCAACCTTCTGAAATTCAAACAATGGCTTTGGCTTAAGCCAGATTCACAGAGTAGCAGAAATATGTGCGTATGGGTTTACAGGGTTAAATTCTTACTGGGGAAGGGTTTATAATGTGGGATGTTTCTTCAGATCTGGTGGGAAAAATTTTTCTGTGATTTCCAAGCTAATACTGTTGGCTGCAATAGCAATATCTCCAGGATTCACGCCACAGCATCTGTACACAACAAGGGGACTTTGCCTGTTGTGACAGCTTTGTGTGGCCTGGTGATATAGACAGATGTAGATATATATGCACCAGGCAGGAAGAAAAGCTGCCTTTTCTGGACAAGACAAAGTTACTGGTGACTAAATATTATGGGAACTGGAAGAAGGCTTTAAATCATCCGAAAGGCTTTGGAAAAAATTTCAGTGGGAATAAGGGAGGGAAGAAACCTGTCTGGGTCTAGGATGAGTGTTTGATACACCTCTGAGCTGGGTGTTGTGCTTTTTTCCACCGCAGGGACAAAGTCCTGGGCAGTTGGGCATGGCTCATCTCCCTGTCAGTGGCACTGTCTACGTTTGGGTCGTCGAACGGCACGTTCTTCAGCGGAGGCCGTGTGTGCTACATTGCTGCAAGGGAAGGCCATATGGTAAGGACAAAAAAAAAAAAATAATGGGTCTGGGTTTTTTTTTTTGAGCAACTTTACCCTTTTGTGACACTAAAGCAGAGAGGAAATCTCTGTGTATGTTGAGTTGGTAGAGCAATAGCTCTTCAGTGGTTAGTTTCTTCCTTGAATATGTTCTTCCCCATCTTTTTCAAATGCAATGTATATGGTGTCTCCTGACTTCCTCAGCCACGCAATTTCAGAAGGATACATAATCACATCTAGCCTGAATTTTAAGAACAGCCTTGAAACAAACAACTGAAATGCTGTTGTATTGGAGCACCTGGCACAGGCTCTGGGGTGATGGAGCTGATATACCCGCCAGGGAGGGGAAGCCTGGCCGTGCTTGCGTGTTGTGAGGCACCCTTGCTCCCACTGGGCAGGTAGCCCAGCACTGGCAAGCTGCCTTTGCAGGCCATAATGACTACATAAGCTGGTCTTGGGGTGTTCTAGCCTTCCCATGGGATAGTCTAGCTCAGATACTGTGTAGGATATCTCTGCTCTTCAAGCTTCGTAGCAATTACAAGGTGACACCGAGCCTTACATCTCCCCTAGCTGGGGTTTTTAATTGGTTTTGTTAGGTGGGGCCAGATCTGGTAGCCCAACGGAGGTCAGGCTACTGCAGCTCAGTGCTCCCTGGTCCGACCAGTAAGTTCAGCGTGTATTCCCAAAGGCACACACACACAAATACTAGTATACAACATATGTATACACATATACATATGTATATATACACATACAGAAAGCAGGCCACACAGATCTACACATACAGGCACACTCAGTGCTCACACAAACACTGGCACAAACAGCACCAAGGGCCTCATATGGTTCCCCTCTCTGGCTGATCAGGGGTCTGTTAGTGGGAAATATCTAGATAAATACATGTACAACATGGGTCCCTCCAGCAGTGGGACTCAGACACTTGGTCTGCCCGGTAGCTGCCCCTGCATCCCAGTCTCCCCAGATGCTGGTACCTGGGCATACAAGCCCCAGTGTTGCTGCTGCTGCAGACCCCCTCACTCACAGGCACCCTCCATGCCTACCCACGCTTCTTCTCCCTCTCAGCACTTGGGCTGAGCTGCATTTGTCCTCCTCTGTGATGAGCAGGCATGTTGTGTTCCTCCTGGAGCTTTCTGCTTCTTTGGTCTTTCCTTCCTTCCATACCTTCTGGCTCTCAGGTGCGAAGGATACCACCCCACACCAGTTTCATTCCTTGTACATGGGAGGGAATCTTATATGTATATGAATGACCAGGTTGGGGGAGATGATTGGGTTGGTGGTTACTGGGTTCTGGTGGTTCCACAGCTTCTCTTAATGATGACATTATTGCTGTATTGTGCTGAGCAGTTCACAGATGGTCTGAATTTGACCTTACCAGATGTATGCTCTTTCTCAGACACTCAGCTCTAGGAGAAGTCCTTGCATGATATTTTGGTTGGAAATAAAAAAGGAAAAAAAAATTTAAAAAAGGAAGCCTTTCTCATTAAAGTTTCCCAATGAACCAAGCAATGGAGAAGCTAATAATCCTCTCCGTGTTCTGGTTCATTGCATAAATGTTTCAGGAGTAGTCCTTGTCTCATTTTCCAGTCAGCCCAAGAGAAGTCAAGTCCCAGAGAGACGTGGCAGAGAACAGAAGGGTGGGACCATGCACAAGGTCCAGATGATGATCAGGAATGCTCTAATTTGACTCAGCCTTAGTCTGTCACACTGGTAGTTTGAAAACCTCATCTTGTATGCCTAAACTGAGCACATACGATATGAAATCAGTGAGACACAATAAAAATATCCTTGAAGGAGGTTTCCATGTTTACACTCCTCGGAGTTGAACAGCTTTTATATTATGATGCTTATTTGATGATTAAGAGGGGCTCTGGCTGCAGGCAGAGCTCCCCCCAGCAGCGGAGGGGGATGAGTAAGGATGTCTGAGTCCGTGATATGATGGTATATTGTTTTTTGCTTTGGCTTTCAGCCAGACATTCTGTCTATGGCTCACGTGCGACGCCTCACGCCCTCCCCTGCCCTGCTCTTTACCTCTGCTATGTCTTTAATAATGGTCCTATCGGGGAGCTTCACCAGTATCGTGAACTTTTTCAGGTATGTATGTGCAGCGTTCCTCCTTGCATCCCCTGTGCTCCTGGGTTTTGACATTGTTTTAGAAGTATTTCCTTTTAATATCTTTTTGAGCCTGGGCTGTTGCTTTCTAACCAGTATTGTGGAGGGGAGGAAGGGAAGAAAGGAAAGAAAGAGCTTAGGAACCAGCATCTTTGCAATGCATGAATGCTTCTGTCACTATATGCTTAACTGGATGTGATTCATCCTCATATTGAAATGAACCTGTAATATTCAGATCATTCTGAAGTTCTCATTGTTGTGCTGGAAAGGAAACGAATGAAAGAACTACTAAATTTATATCAATATTCTTCTTTTTAATTGAAGACGTGAACATCTGGGATCTGCAAGACAGGTCTGACATTCCTGGAAGATCTCACCCCAAATGTAATGCTGTCTTTTTTTTTTTCTTTTCTTTTTTCCTTTCTTTTCCTCCCAGTTTTATAGCGTGGTTTTTCTATGGCATGACTATTACTGGTCTTCTGTATTTAAAAATCAAGAAACCAGAGCTGCCAAGATCTTACAAGGTGAGGTAATCACATAAAATCCTAAAACCCTTTCCCTATATTGCCCAAATGACTGAAAGACCATTATGAGGAAAGAGGAAGCACAGGGGCTGGGTGCCTACAGATTTAGTGTGGTTGTCTTTCATTTTTTATTTCATGTTTTGTCTCAGCAAAATCAGTGAGCAGCAAGATAGCGTGACTATACAGGCGTAATTCAAGGTTGAATTCTCCATCTTGATAAGCTAATAGTGCACTGCCCCCTCACTGTGGAAAATATATCCACCATACCCTTTTTTTTAAGAGATTTAAGAGGAAAATGAAGGATGATTCTGATCAGCAATCACCTGTTTATGGTCTCAGAGCTTGGTCCCACTCCTCAGAGTGGGAAGCTCAGGTGTAAGAACTCTGCAGAGGACAGAAAACCTGGCCAGGATGCCCCAAGTCCTTTGAGATGGCCCAGGGACAGGTCTGTTCCCCACAAAACAACTAAGTGGAAGGAAATCAGGAGTTACCTGACCCATGAGACCGTGCATGCAGGACGGTGACTTTTCCATGAGACAAGCTGAATGAACATCCTGGTTCTCATGGGGTTCCTCCAGAAGGCAGGTGATGGGCTGACACCACCAGGCTGTGCAAAGCAATATCGAGTGCCCATGGGGCTTAGCATGAAGAAGGGCAGTGCTCTATTAAGTCTTCCAGTCACTGGCTTCTGTGGCTCTGTCCTGAAATTAGGAGGCTGAATGAAGACTTTCACCCAACTTGTTGGCTGAATGGGCTTAAAGAGAAGAAGTTCTGTTTCTGCAATAGTGTTTCATACGCTCTATAAAACTCCCCCAGTCCTCCAGGCCTGTCCTGTGAGGATGTCATCCTGCTGCAGCCTTTGGCTTGATGGCCCAACTTTTCCTAAACTAGGAGAAGCTCATGCCTGAAGGTTCCAGGTCGACTGACAATGTATGGCTCATGTCCTGCAGAATCTGTATGTGTGTTTATATTTAAAGGGTAAGATTTTCCTTGGTTTGGAAGCAATCATTTTTATTAGCATTGTGCCAAGAGTATTAAAACATAGTGGGGAGGGAGCAGAGTGGAGCATCCCACTAAGGCAGATGAAGCCAATGGCAGGTCTTCTCCATGCCCTCACAGGTAACCATTGACAACATTTCTTTCAGTCTATACCAGTCTCCTTGTGTTGGACAAAAGGCCAACAGTAAAATTGGAAAATCCCAGCTGAAACATTCAGTTTTCATCTTGTTGTGAAATCATTTAGTGTTGTGCGTTCATTCACCTTTGAAAGAGGTTGGCTTCAAATTTAAATGCTTTGTGACCAGACTTAAAGAAAAAGCCTTTGAGGTTGCCTGTCCACCTATCTGTCAACACATGAATAAACCTTTTTGCCCAAGGGCATTAAGATTGAGTTATGTGATTTGTGCAGTTGCTGTGTGTTTTGTCTACAGCTCAGCTTTTGCTTGCAAGGCAGCAGGGAGAGCAAGAAACAAACCTGGCACTAAAACCAGTAGTTTGCATCTTCAGGTCTAGGAGGGCAGAGGAGACCAGGGGTTAAGGTGTGTGGTAGTGGTGTAGCTCTTGCAGGGTGTTCAACCTTGGAGTAGGGGTGGGATGTCTGGATTAATTGGAATTTCTAGGTAATACCTCAGGTCACAGCAGAGTTTAGTCTAAAAAGCCTTCTGTAGAAGTCTCAGGGTTGTCCAGACCCGGAGCGGGCCTGGATGATGTGAGTCTTTACGCTATTGTTTTGCTTTCACAGGTCCCAATTATCATCCCCATAATCGTGCTGGTGGCAGCTGTGTACCTGGTGTTAGCTCCCATCATTGATCAGCCCCAAATGGAGATCCTCTACATCATCCTCTTCGTTTTCAGTGGCGTCATTCTTTATTTCCCACTGGTTCGCTTCAAGTGCCACCCTCGCTTTTTACAGAAAGTCACTTTACATCTCCAGTTGTTCCTGGAAGTTGCTCCCACCACCAGGGATGAAAACTGAGACAACGTCCTCCTGGCCTATGGCTGCCCAGCCCTTTTGGTTTATCCCAGCACGTTGGCTTTCAAGGCTCAGAAAATATTTTCTATAAGGAAGAAAGGAAGCACCACTAAAATGCAAAGTCACAGAGGAAATGTGTGGAAAGTGTGACTGTTTCTTCCAAAATCCAGTCAAACATCTTATCACATAGTTCATCCTTTCTCTCTGTGCACCTGTGACATATGAACAATAGGAATGAACACGAAAAGACTTAATGCTTGGGATAAGTAGCCTTTATATGTTATTGGTTTGTATAGGGATATAGGGGAGCTGAAAAGCTGCAAGTATCATATTTTGCACTAATCTCATTTTCTATAGATATTGTAACAAGATGTTCTTTTTATTTATGTTGCCTCGGGTGCGCATGCACAAGTGTTTATAATGCCAAAAGGAGATGCTGAAAGCTCAGAGAACGGCAAGATAATTTCAATAAAATGGACGTTAAAACGAAGTGAGTTGACGTGGTTGTTGCTGTTTCTCATCCAAGGAAAACAATTCCATATAAATTTTACTGCATGAACATAAACAATCAGCATCAGGCTCATCTCTCCTTGGATGAAAGGTTTAACTATATGCGTGGGTGCTTGTATGTGCGTACACTCATTTTTCAAAATGATTGCTTATCTATTTCAATCCCAGCGTATGCAAATCAGGACCTCTCTTTCCATCATCAGACGTTTGCAATGGAAGTGTCAGGAAGAGGCAGCGTGTCCTTACCCTTCATTTATACAGCACAGTAACGAGTATGATGGTGGGCAGAGCTCTGTGGCTGCTGTGGGGTTTACAGGCCCTGCTGTAAGATCATGTTGGACCTGTCTGTCTCCCAAGTTCCAGATCCCTGTGACCTGTGCTTAGCCCCTTCTTTCATGGCCTCTGAGGAAAACTGGACGCAAGGGAATCGTATCAGCTGTACTTCACCTCAAGACCCTGAGTAGAACTGAATCCTGGGCTTCAGCTGGCAACCTGCAGCCACCAGTCAGGAGTTTGACCTTGGTGCACAAAGCTGCATGTATTCGGGGTCTTCTCCTGACTTCCTCAGAAGCACCAGAGATGGGCTACACCTGGGGATGGTCAAGGATGGTACAGTGTGTGAGAGGGTACAGAAAATCCTCCCTTGGTAATTTTCTGATAAGCCTTGCTCATATGCCCAAGTTGAAGTGATTGTCATCGTTTGTGGTTGAGGAGAAACTTCCCCGTGGGTGAGCCAGAACACAATCCATAATGATTTTAATTTTCCTCTGTTGCAGAAACACAGTTCACCTGCTTGGATTGGCTGGGTTTATCTTATCAGTTCACTGCCAGGGCAGAGGGTTTGGCATTCTCTCCTGCCCTTTCCTGGGACATAGGGAGTAATCAGAAGCCTCTCATCAGTGCTAATTTGCTCGCCAGGTCATCACACTGAGTGGATTGTAGAACGTCTGTGTTCAGAGATGAAATAAATACAGCTAACTCTGGGAATCATAGATCATTAAAGCGTGGGTTGGAACCAACCTCTGGAGGTCTCTCATCCAACTCCCTGCTTGGAGCAGGACTATTCCCCACACTAGATCAGGTCACCTGTAACTCTGTCTCACCACATCTTGGAAAACACCAGGGATGGAGCCCACCGTCTCTCCGCACTGCCCTCCTGGAAAAGAAATTTTCCCAAAGTCCAGTCTGAACCTCTCAAGCCACAGCTTGTGGCTGTTGCTCTTCACGATATCATCTACTGCTGTCAAAGAAGTTGTCTCCATCCCTCTGCTTCATGGAGCTGTAGGTTGCTGTCTGATTGCCTCTTACCCTTTTTGCCAGTCTCAACGAGCCCAGCTCCCTCAGCTTCTTCATGTAGGTGACATGTGTTGGCCTCAAACCACCTTGGGAGCTCTCTGCTGGACCCTGCCCAGTTCCTCCCCTTCCCTTTTGAACTTGGGAGGGGTCAGAAAGTTGGCCGCAACATTCCAGGTGTGCCCTCACAGGTGTTGAGTCTACAGAGACACTGATGTCCTTTGATCTGCTGACCATACTTCTCCTAAAGTAGGCCGCTGTGTGTAACCCCAGCTTCTGGATTGAAGCACCCGCAAATCTGCTGAGAGCACATTTTGTCACATTCTCCAGGTTTCCCATGAAGATACTGAACATCATTGGCCCCAGGTTCAAAACCCTGTGGTACTTCTTACCAGCCTGTGCTGATACATGGGGTTATTCCACCCCTGATGCAGGACTCGGGCTTCTCGGGCATTGCTGAACTGCAGGATGCATCTGCTGGCCTCATCTTTAAGTTTCTCCAGGTGCCTCCGGATCCACCTAATTTAGGAGTGCACACCTCTGAGAGCTTCAGCTGAGTGGAAGGCAATGGCAAACCCTTACTTTATACAGTTGGTGCTGGTATTAGAAACTTTTGGATGGGCTGGGACAAATTTACCCATCAGGATGACTCAGTCTAGCAGTTTACTGGGATCTATATCTCGCACTTTATCATTTATTGATGGATTAGTTGAATATCATCAGGGTCTTTGTGTAGGTGACTCATTCCCCAGGAAGGAATGGTGTTTGCTAAAAAAGGATGCAGACCCAGGGTCATAAAACAAATGGGTGGTCTTAGGTTTGTGCAGTGCCAGTGAGACTAATGGGTAGTGAAGGAGCCCGTCTGTTTTTAGAATCGAGCTCCCATGTCAGATTTGTCCTCGGAGGCGGCGAACCCTGTGGCTTGAGTGTCTGGCAGATAAATGATCATCTTTTCCTTCTGAAGACTGGCCATTAATTCTTATTGTTTAATTTCATGGACTATGCCCTGGTTCTCACGCAGTGAGATGACAGGCAGCGGGGGGGCTGTGAGAAAAGGGAAAATGAGAAGTAGATTTAAAGAGAATTCCTGCATGTGCAAGTCTTGGCTCGTGTGTCTGAATTACCTACCTAAAATCCAGACATGGGCAACACCTCAGCAGCAAAGACGCTTGTCCAGAAGTTCAGAAATGCCAGAATAGAAGTTGTTTTTTTCAGCAGTGATTCCTTTCCTTTCTGTTTGTACGTTCTGGGCCTATATTTTTGTGTGTAATCTATATTTTCCATGGCACGTCTGTGTCAGTAATGGACAGAGTAGAGCAAGAGTTTGGTATTTTCCCTTTTCCTGTTGCTCAGTCTGTGGTAGCCACACTTCATCGACAGGTCACGATTCCTCTGAAGAGATGGCTTCAGAATGAACACAAATTTTCAGCAGAAGGTATGAGCCCTGGCTCAAGGGGCATCACTACAACCCCATTGCTCCCAGCTCCCGAATTAGGGATTGAGAGCTGCCCCAGGGATCAAATGATGCCAATGGTCTTCTTTCTCCCTTGGCCAAGCACCTACCTTTACCTATAATCTGTATTAAGCATGTGTAGAGCCTGCAGAAATTCCACAGGGTTCCATCCTGGCTGAAGGGCCACTCCTGGTGACACCAGCTGAGCCGCCAGCAGCCACATCCATCCAAGGGTGGATGCCAGTCCATCAGGGCCATGTGAGCACCTTGTGGGCAGGAGCCGTGCCTCATGAACAGCAAGAAGGTGCAGAGGAAAATGGACGTGAAGCGTATGTCCAGGAGATGCTGCAAATATCCTCAGAACTGGGGTCCCTGGGATCCCTGACGCCTGCAGAGAGGCAGAGAGCTGTGCCCCTTGGACTGAGATGAAAAGTTTGGGCCAGATCCTGCTGGGGATGTTGTATTGGGCTCCTCGTGTACCAGGCACAAGCAGGACTGTGGGTGAAGAAGCATATGGTGACCTTTCATCCCCTTGGTGCTGCCTGGACTCCAACCCACTGTGGAGTCAGAAATGGTCCTTAAAAATTCTCCGCCGCCTTCACCAACTTTGCGATGGATTGTCCCACCTCAGCTTCCCCCAGCACCAAGCCTTCCTGCTCCTCCTGCCCCGAGGAAGCTGCTGCCAACCTGCCCAGCAACGCCCTCCCTCTTTTCCACACTCTCCTTTAGTTCTCTTTGTGCAAAAAAACCCAAACCATTCCACAGATTTGCAATGCAAAAGACCCCCCAGGCAACACCAAAACACTTTTCCCAGGAAGGTGGGCTCAGGGCAGGGAGGCCCAGGGGAGGGGGGTGGGCAGGGGGGGCACTGCACAGCTGTTGGGGTCTGAAGAACCCACAACAATTTATTGTGGTTTGGACAATTATTCTGTCACCTGATGACCCCTCCCCACCCGGGAAGGGGAATCAGGAAAGAATAAAGAAACCCAAGGGTTGAAATATAAACAGATTTAATAGAATCAGACTGAGTAATTAACATTAATGATGCTAAAGAGGCAATCTTGATCCTGGCACCAATATAAAATATACAAGGATCATACTCAGCCCATTCTATGAGCAGGAAGGTGTGCACTCCCAGCAGGGACAGCAGACGTGGGACACTGCGAGTGGTGGGAGGAAGGGAAGGGCTCAGGGATCCGGCACCGGGGCAAGGAGTTCTCAGCATCACAGCCACCATAGCAGAGAGAAACTCCTCAGCAAACTTTCTAATTTATATTGACTGTGAGGTGCATGGTATGAAATAATCCTGTTGGCCAGCCTGGGTCAGTGCCCAGGTCTCGCTCCTCCTCGTCCCCGCACCTGGCGAGCTCGAAAACACTGAGACCTTGGAACCCGCAGACCGCAGCTGGCTAGAAAGTAAATATTTTCACAATATTACAAGACCGGAGTCTTCCAAAAATGCAATTTTCCCAAGCGTTAGAAAAGTAAAATTACTGAAAGAAAAATTAGTCCTGTGTGTCGCTCAACCCAGGACACCAGCCCTGGCCAAAAACCTCAGTTCAAACCGGGGGTGAGGGTGTCCCACTGCCCAGAGGCGGCTGTTTGGAGCTGAGGGCGTCCATCCGGCAGTTCCAGGCGGTGGAGATGGCTTTGCAGAGGAGGTAGGAGTCTTCCAAAAATGCAATTTTCCCAAGCGTTAGAGAAGTAAAATTACTGAAAGAAAAATTAGTCCTGTGTGTCGCTCAACCCAGGACACCAGCCCTGGCCAAAAACCTCAGTTCAAACCGGGGGTGAGGGTGTCCCACTGCCCAGAGGCGGCTGTTTGGAGCTGAGGGCGTCCATCCGGCAGCTCCAGGCGGTGGAGACGGCTTTGCAGAGGAGGTAGGAGCCGGCAGATGGCGGTGGCAGCCGCCTGATGGAGAGCTCGGTAGCACCAGCCTCTCCCCCCTGGGGGAAGCAGGACCCACAGCTCTCAGGCCAAGGGAGCTGTTTGATGGTGCACCCCTCTGCAGTGCCACGGTAGGGTTGGAGTCACCCAAATAGCAGGAAAGCTCATTTTGGGGGGCAGGTGGTTGTG